AGCAACGGAGAGACCAACACCAATCCCCCGCCCGCATGCAGGTCAAAGTTCGTGCATCAGGCATGCCTATAACACGAGACAGGCGGCGAGGCAGAAAAAATCTGGGCCAGCAGGAACAAACACCCCACCACTGATGATGGAGACGAGGAAGTTTCCAAAAGGTCAGCACAAATACATTGTGGTCCATGGAATCGCCCCTCCTTCGTCTTCTTTTGGGAATGATGAACGGGATATATACGTATGTGCATAGCGAGAGGTTCTATGTCGTGTTTCAAGAAATGTGCAATCGAATGGTTACCGATTCCTTCAACACATTTTATCTGGTTTCAACTGCGCATCGATTCGCAAGTGAGGCGGGCTTTTGAAATTGAGCCGCCATTTTTTGTTTTTTCCCTCCTGTCACGTGAACACTTATTAATTGCATACCCCAGTCTTATTCCCTTATTTCTGCATCGATTTTTCCGCCTCTTGATCATGACTCTAGTGGTTGCACTTTGCGGCCAATTTGTCGTTTCTGCGATTGTCCTGCGTTGGCGTTCTCACGCTCCCAAACGCAAAGACCTCACCGTGCCAGCAACAGTTACACTCTGACAACTTGTCCTGTTTCTCTTCCTTTCTCGTTGGCTTTCCCACGCTCGTATCAGCAAAGGCCAGTATTTCGAAAGCAACATCGCTGTGGATGGCAAGTTGCGCTTAAACGCCAGCCTAAAAACAAGTTCTCAATCCCGGGTTTTCTTTCGACTAACTGTCGATCGATATTTAACAAAGCCCATGATTTGGAATTACTTCTGTCAACCAAAGAACATGGCAAAACAGGAGTAATTTGCCTTCAGGAGACGTGGTGGAATAGCCATATTGACTCGGAACTAATCACTCCTTCGTCATTTTGGTGTTTTCGAAATGATAGGCCATCGCCAACAGGCAGTAGAGGTGGAGGAGTGGCCATTTTTGTCAATCAAGACTGGTGTATAAATTTTGAAATCATCGTGCAGCGACACTTCAATACGGTGGAGCAATTTGCTGACCGAATTCTGAATGCCACCGTCCATCCCCTCCATAATGAGTTAATGGCTGCGAAATCCTTACGCCCCATGCGCCGATGCTTCCGCCACACCCCTTGTCGCACTTCGGCTTATCAGAATTCCATACTGCCGTTTCTAGCCCGGTATCTCACCTGCAAAGATGCTGCAAAACAAAAGCTTAAACTCGATCTTGCACCATAAAGTCCTTTTTTTCTTCATATAAAATTATGTCCACCTGTCCAATACCTGTTAATCTCTATGGTAATCACTGCGTACTGGAGAACCGTTTTTGCTGAAAGTTTTGAATGTTATTTCCAAAATAAAGCATTCCTCTCTCTCTCATTCTTGGCAGCGATTTCATAGCATTAAAAGGCTGACGTCAAACTATACTGTCGGTTCTATTGGTGTTTTTGGGTTCGAACGGTCGGAGCAAACAATCAATTACATGAAAAACTGCCAATGTACTAGTACAATCACTTATTTTGGGTTTCCCTTCAGTTACATTTTCGACTGTCCTCCGTCACTAGGCCTACTAGACAAATCGTTTGGATATCCGTGTGCTACGCCGAAGTTTCCGCATATTTTCTTCTCGTTCAGGTGTACCTTCAGTCTGTATCTAGGGGATCGGAACACGTCAGAACTTTTTAGATGATGAGCGACTGAACTGTTAACTCAGAATGACATATGCTCTCGTTTTCAGTCTCATTTGCTTTGTATTCTGGAAGTTATGAACGAAGGCTAGTTGTTTTCCTGCTCATCCTGTTTCCCATTCGTGTATTTCTACTGCCTTTCTCCTCCTACTCCGATTTCTACTATTATTTTTCATGAATGGTGGCGGATTTTTGGGTCCCAGATGAATTCATTTGTGGGTAGGAAGAGGACCGTTCGGTCGCCGGAACCATTTTTTTATTTGGTTGAACTTTTGGATTCGTGCAAGAATGTACCAGTGGACTCCTTAAAAATGACGTCGAACAAATTTCGGTATCGCGAAGCCATTTGTCCTTAAATTGGCGACCAGGGCGTTACCGATGAGTAGAGGTAACAATGACTTAGGTTCCTTCTTTTTCTTAAACCTTCCGTTGGAGGACAAGCATACTTATACTAGCTAACGTTACTTTCTATTTAAAAGGGTAATTCTTTTCTTAGCAGGCTTTTAATTGTTTTTTCGGTTATACCTTTCCGGTGCGCCTACCATTTCTCGTGTTTTGATTTAGAAGAGTCGGCGAAAGGATTTCACTTGCTAGTAACTACTCAATAGCGTTTGCAAGAGGCTTCGTTTGTTTAAGTATGTGCATATTAAACAACCTCTGTCCTAATCTATGGAATCACGAGACAGCGATATGAAAGGTCAGCTACGTTTCTAATAAAACTGCTGCTAGCATCAGTAGGTGTTTGTTACTGTCCATTCCTCAGCACCTTTACAATCCAAGTGAATAGAAATGTCAATCAATGAATAACTTAACGTTTTATACAGCACACTGATGTCTAGTCTATCAGCAAGACAACACGCAGACAGTCTAGGAAGGACAAAACCGAACAGTAGACAATGCCATACATCGACGGTTTCTTGACCCATTTCTGTTAAGTCAGCACTGTAGGTCATGCTTAGCGGCCTCTCTGGGCTTTTGTTGTTTACATGGTGAAGCTTACTGTCACGGTGTTTACAAGGTCTCGAAGACTGA